TTCTCCTTTGGATTTCTAGTTTCAATACATTGTTGTCACAAAAGATACGTAATATACTTTCAACCTTAAATTTCTTAAGGCTTGTTTAGTGGTCTAACAAATAATTTATCTTGTAGAATGTTCTGTGTACACTTGAAAAGAATATGTATACTGCTGCTGTTCAATGGAATGTTTTTTATATGTCTGTTAGGTCCATTAGGTCTATAGTGTTATTCAAGTCTGCCATTTCCTTATCAATTTTCTGTCTGGATGATCTATTATTTATTGGAAGTGGGGTCTTAAACTCTCCTGTTATTGTATTGCTGTCTATTTCTCCCATCGGTTCTGTTAGTATTTGATCCAATGTTGGATGTATATATAATTACAATATTCTCCTGATGAATTAAAACCTTTACCCTTATATAATGACCTTGTCTCTTGTGAAAGTTTTTGATAGTCTATTTTGTCTGATAAGTGTATCTACCCTGCTGTCTTTTGGTTATCATTTGCATGGAATATCTTTTTCCATCCCTTCACTTTCAGTCTGTGTGTCCTTAATCTAAAGTGTCTTGTAGTCAGCATACAGTTGGAGTGTTGTTGTTTTTTTCAATCTATTCAGCCACTACATGTCTTTTGATTGGAGAATTAAATCCATTTACATTTAAAGTAATTATTGATAGTTAAGGACTTACCACTGCCATTTTGTTCATTTTTGTGGTTCCTTTCCCCTTTCTGCCTCTCTTCTGGCTTCCACTGTGATAATTTTTTTTATGTATGTTTTGGTTCCTTTCTATTTTGTGTATCTATTAGATTTTTTCCCTCTGGTTAACAAGAAGATTACATAAGACAAATAATAGTTATAACAGTCTATTTGTGTACAAAACCTCTACACTTGAACTTCTCTCCATTTTGTTATTGATGCTACAATTTATTTTTTATATTGTATATACATAAACAATACTGTAGCCAGTGATTTTTAATACTTTTGTCTCTTAAATTTTATACTAGAGTTAAGAGTGATTTATGCAACACCATTACAGTATTAGAGTATTTTGAAAATGACTATGTTCTTACCTTTACAGCAAGTTTTATACTTTCATGTTGTTAGATAGCATCCTTTTCTTTCAACTTGAAGAAGTCCCTTTAGCGTTTCTTTTAAGGCAGATCTAGTGTGATGAGTTCTCACAGTTTTTTTGTCTGGAAAAGTCTTTATCTCTCCTTTATTTCTGGAGGGCATCCTTGCTGGGTATAATATTCTTGGTTGATAGTTGTTTTCTTTTCTTTCAGCATTCTGAATATATAATCACTCTCTCTCCTGGCTTGTGAGGTTCTGCTGAGATATTTGCTGATAGTCTAGTGAGGGTTCTCCTGTATGTGATAAGTCATTTTTGTCTGGCTGCTTTCAAAATTCTTTGTTTCTGACTTTTCAGAATTTGATTTTATGTCTTGGTAAAGATCTCTTTATATAATCTATTTGGGGTTCTTTGGGATTCATGGATCTGAATGTTCATTTTCCTCTCTAGGTGAAGAGGGGTACGTCCTTGGGCCCCATGGTCTTACCTGATTTCGGTTTTTTTTTTTGTCTTTTTCATGACCGGTAAGGGGATTGCAACCCTTTGCATGGTGTCGCCCACACCGCGCTCAGCCAGTGAGTGCAACCGGCCATTCCTATATAGGATCCGAACCCGCAGTGGGAGCATCGCCGCGCTCCCAGCGCCGCAATCTCCCAAGTGCGCCTTGGGCTCGGCCCTTACCTGATTTCTTTAAATAAGTTTTCTTCCCTTTTCTCTTTTTCTGCTCCTTCTAGAACTCCCATAGCGCATATTTTCGTTCATTTGATGGTGTCCTATACACTGGTTGACTGACTGACTTCCTTCCTTCCTTTTGTGTTCTGACTGGGAAATTTCAAATGCACTGTTTGAGTTCACTGATTCTTCTGCTTGATTGAATCTGCTGTTGAAGCTTTCTACTTAATTTTTTAGTGCAGCTATTGTGTTCTTCAGCTCTAGAATTTGTTTGGTACTTTTATATAGTTTCTATTTCATTGTCAAACTTCTCAATTTGTTCATGTATTGCTCTCCTGATTTTGTTTAGCTGCTTGTTTCCTCTTGTAGCTCACTGAACTTCTTTTAGACAATTGTTTTAAATTATTTGTCAGGCAGTTTGTAGATCTTCATTTCTTTAGAGTGTTATGGGTGTTTCATTTTGTTCCTTTGATGGTAACATTTTTCCCTGATCATTCATGATCCCTGCAGCCTTTTTTAAGTGTCTGCAGATTCATTTGAAGAATTAGCAACCTCTTCCAGTCTTCACAGCCTGGCTTCAGCAGGGAAATTCATTTACCAGTCTGCTGTTCAGAGGTTCTAGGAAAGCCATCTGGTGGGGTCAAGTGGGCAGTCCCAGAGCCTGCTTCCATGGGGGGAAGCCCAGTACTAAATTCTACTGGTGCAGATCTGGACTGCGGGCCATGGGAGCTGACCTTGAGCACCCTTTTAAATTGCACAATTCAGTAGATTTTAGTATATTCACAGAGTTATGAAACCATTGCCACTAATTTTAGAACACTGCTATCACAAAAAGAATCCTCAAACCCATTAGGAGTGTGTAACTAGGTTTGACCATTGTAAGAAAGATATGCATAACTTCACAGCAAGTCTTTTAAGGTCTAGTGCTCCATTCACCATCTTTTCCTCCCCTTGCCATGGTGACTGGTGTCATTTCAAAGGTGGAGTTTCATCACCCTACACCTTGGAGTGAAGATGAAAATAGAGGCAAGCCCTTGATGAACCAAGAAGGATATGTGGGGTGGCCAAGACATAAAGCTTTATTGTTTTAAGTCACTAAGATTTTAAGGTGGTTTGCAGATAAAGTAACCTAGACTAACACAACTAAGATACATAGGTTAAAAGTCTGTTGAGAGATTATTTAGGAAAGGCAAAATTTTAGAATTTGTAATTCTAAAATGACTTTGAACACTAATCGCCCTCTTTAAATGGAGGAAAGAAGAGGCTAATTTTGAGCCAGATGATCATCAAAGGGAAGCCACTTCATTTGATCTGAGAAAAGGGACAAAACCATTTATATTCACCAAGAAGAGGATCCGATATGATTCCATCATGAAACTTTGTTCTCCTGATGAGAACAGGATAGTTGTCACAGTTTGATAAAACTGTTTTAATGTTTTTTCTGGAATTCTACTGGAATTTATATGGTCTGTGGTATGAGATATTAGATGGATTTCTCTCTCAATCACTTATCTGTTAGCCTATTTTAAACATAATTTAATCTTTCTTCTTAAATAAATAATTACAATACCCCACATCTCCATTTTTGATATCACATATCACTGTCCAGTATGGTTAATGATAAAATATGTGAGATATGCTGTAATGATCTTAAGACACACTCCATTCAATATTAACACTACAGGCATAGTTTCAGAAGATAAGTAACTTACCTAGGCATTTGAATTAGTTTGTTAGGGCTACTGTAACAAACTACAACAAACTGGGTAGCTTAAAAAACAGAATTTTATTCTCTCACAGTTTTGAAGTCTGAGAAGAAAGTATTGACAGGGTTGGTTCTTTCTGAGGGCTGTGAGGAAGAGTCTGTTCCATACCTCCCCTCTAACTTCTGGTGGTTTGTTGGCAATCTTTGGCATTTCTTGGCTTGTAGAAGCATCACTTCAATCTCCGCCTTCATCTTCACATGGTATGCTCTCTCAGTCTGTATCCAAACTTCTTCCTTCTATAAGGACACCAGTCATTATTGGATTAGAGCTCACTCTTCCAATATGACTTCATCTTAACTAATTACCCCTGCAACAACCCTGATTCCAAATAAGGTCTCATTTTGAGGTACTAGAAGTTAGGACTTCAACATAAGCATTTTTGGAGGGACATATATCAACCCTTAACAGTGTTCAATACTCCCCACAAAGTTTCCTACTTACCTTTTCAGCTTTATTGCCTCCTTACCTTGCTACTTCACTTTACACCTGAAGCAGTGTAGACAAAAAGCCCTGGCTTTCTGTGAATCACTACAGTACTTTCCTGTCTTTGTGCACTTCTTCTCTCCTAATCATTTTGTATCCATTCATCAAATACCATACATCCTTTAAAGGCAAGCTCAAATGATCCTTCTTCCTTAAGGATAAACCTAAGTTTCCTATCCAAAAACAACTTCTCTCTCTTTTGCCTCCCTAAGTACATTATCTGTACTTACTTATCTTCTGAAACTTAGCATGTCTTAACTTGTGTGGTACGTGGCTTATGTGGTCTATATTTCTTTTTTTTTTTTTCCTTTTTGTCTTTTTTCGTGACCGGTAACGGGATCGCAACCCTCGGTGTCACACCCGTACCGCACTCAACCAGTGAGCGGACTGGTCTCTATATGGGATCTGAACCCTCGACAGGAGCGCCGCTGTGCTCCCAAGCCCCACACTCTACTGAGTGCGCCACTGGGCCGGCCCATGTGGTCTATATTTCTTAAAAGACAGCAGTACATACCCTGCAAGGTTGAGGTACACATTTGACTTATCTTTATATTTTCTCACAGTGATTTTCATAGTGCCTTATAACAAATATATGTTGAATGAAGTTATGAATATCATACAAATTACAGTTTAAAATGTTTGATACTGGATATTTATGATTATTTTTTTTAAGGTTGCAGAAAAAAATCTCATTAGCAGATGCTTTTGATTTAAATATATAATATGGAAAGGAACAAATATTTTCAAACCAATACATAGTTTCAGACCCTAATCCTAAACTTATCTAACAAATTGGATAATCTGAAATTACCAAAATCCTATAAAAGCCTATTAAACAACCATAAATTTTCCTCTAAATATTTTTATAAGTTCCAATGATGCAGAAGGAAGTTTCATTTTATTCATTGTTATAGTTGATTCAATATTTGATAATCCCATTCTAAGTAGGTCAAACTTATTTTTTTTAAATTGGGAGACAGTCCAGAAAAATTAAAACTGAAAACATTGTACCCATAACAGACAAAGATTGGAGAGTTTTGAGCTGGAATTTAATGTATTTCTTAAGAAGCAAGGGTGCTTCGCCTGTTCTCTCTTTAGAAGAAGTGAATTCTATATATTATATGCTTCCTTTCCTTTGATATACAGGAATATTAATACTCAATGTGATACAACTTTACATAAATAGTTATAAAATAAACCTTCAGGATTTAGTCATTAAGAGTGTGTCAAGACACTTCTTCTACACAACCTGTTTTAATGGATAAGATACTAAGATTCAAGGGGGTTGTACAATCTAAACAAGCACTTTAATTTTGGCATTTGCTAACTTAAGTATTCAAGGACTTGGCTTGAAGAGTCCAAAAGACTGAAAGTCTGCTTTTCAAGAGTACCATGATCTTCCATCAACGGAGAAATCTTGGCATTTCTATATTCTAATAGTTCACGATCCTTGCTTGATGTCAGTAATTCATTACTGGCTACACCAATAGTTGCATCTTCTACCAGAATATTTGCTTGGTATGCTCCAACCGGAATTTCAGGCAATCCAATGTAGTCATGATCTGCCACTACTGAACCTTGCAAGAGATAAAGGCTGTCTGAAAAAAGAGAAATCAAAAGTTTGCCTTTTATAATTATAATTCAACATCATTTTAAACTTAAACAATGTTAAAATGAAGAACAAAATCCCAAGTAATAAAAATTAACTATCAAGATTAACTTCTCAAAGTTCTTCTCTCTACTAAATAATATACACGTCAAAGAATGAATAAAATAATATATAAATTTCACAGTTCACACCTAAAGAATGTAGGAAAGATTAAGGATTGAAAAAAAGGTAGTTTTCTTGTTCCCTTGACCTGTCTTTGGTAGATATGCATGTACAGAGAACAGGGCATAGGAACAGTGAGAATTATGGTCTAGATTAAAAACAACAAAATTATAAAACTGTATTTTTGATGATGATCTCCTAAATATGCATCTGCAAAGCATTTCTGGCTCAATTAATAGGGTCATGGAAGATATGTTAAAAAATAAAAGTTGTTAAATCCTTACATTTACAACTTTAGATAATTATCCAATCTTTATAGCAGCCATATTAGGAAAATAACATCAAATTGTTACAATACAAAGTTATAAATTAAATGAAGATAAAGTTCCTAAAATCAGGTTTATGTGATAGGAATGTGTAAGGAGGCAGGCTGCAATGAAATAACTTAAAAAGCTTAGTTTATTTAAGTCTGATTTGATACACAAATTCTTAGGAACAAACGGTCTATCTAATCCATACTAAAGTATATTCAGGGAATCTTCCTTGTCAGCATTTTATTCTATTTTGAGCAAATTTATGATCACTATCAGGGGAAAAAGGCTTAAAATTAATGTTAATCTGATGGCAAAATAGCACTTTTTTTTTTTACCTAAACAACAATGTCTATTAAAGGATTCTTCCCTATCTGATATTTTAATTCATTACAATAAAGAACTATTCCATCACAGCTGATTAACTTCCTAGACCCCTGACTTCTTCTGGATTTTTTCCCAAAACATTAAAAGATTCTCTTGAAAATTTTTAATAGCTTAAAGAATCCTCAAATTTTAAGTTCAAGAAATAGGAAAAGGAAGATAAATTGCCCATTTAGATTACAGATCAGTGAAAGTTTCTCAGAGCAGAAAAACCTGTTAGTATATCCCAGAAAACGATCCCACTCTATCCATCCTTGGAATAATATACAAAAAGCTAACTGAACCTATTTCAACTTTCAACTTACAAACTACTGTAGACCACACAAAGCTATGCTCTCTACCAATAGATGGCATAAGGGGCTTGGACTTGTATGGTCATAAAATTTTGCCCATTTAGTTCTTCACTAGGCAAAGAGTGCTTGGTATTTTAATTCTGAAAGGTTTTCCAAGTTTAACCTCACTGATTCTTATTAATGCAAAAGCACTGATTAGATTTAAAATGACATTAAGAAGATACAGTGGAATAAAAGAATGGGTAATCTGAGGTGGTAAGAAAATGATTTCTATATGCTAGTATAGGATGAATTGCTGGACAAGAGGAATACTTCTGAAAGACAAAAACTAAATCATGTAACCTACAAATCATGTTATTCCCATTAGTAGCAAGAAGGAAAAAATATAATCAATGAAACTGAAACACTTTCAGAGTGTGTTGCTAGAAGTTCAACACCAAAGTCTGCTATTACTCTACTGTTAATACTGGAGAAGACTCGATAGTAGTTTATAAGAGAACTTAAAAAGGTTAGGTATAGTAAAAGTGTCGTTCATGAATTTTTCGAATAAGCCATGGAGAATTCCATAGATTCAAAGCCTGTACACTACTGTGAAGTTATGAGTGATGGCAGATCCCACAGTATTTAAGGAATTTCCAAAGACATTTTCAGAGATCTTTTTAAAAAAATTAATATGATTTTTTTACATTCTACGTTGTTGTTGCAGCGCAGTTGGGAGGAAGCTTTCTATCTGAAAAAATTTCCATACAGATGAAGCAGGTGTATTTTAGATAAATATGTCCAGTAAACATATCAAGGGGGAAAAATATGCCTAGAATTAAAGCTCTTAGAAATTACCACTTTGATTTGCTGGAATTGCATTCAGAGACCTTGAGCTTAAGCACCACCTAGTTACACTGGACTTAGAAACAAATGGACTTTACCAATCTCACCTTTTTGTAAGAAGAGAGCTTCTATATGTGAGTAATAGAACACACACACACATATATACACACACAGATTTTTTCTTTTAAATAAGTGATAATCTTTAAAGCACCTGAGTGTAATAAAACTGTAGAAAACATGGATTAGATTTAGCAAATTCTACACAAATCACTTTATACACAATAGAAAACTACTCTGAAGATTTCGAAGTCCTGTTTGTGCAGAAAAAAACAAAATTCTCATTCATTCGCAAAGGTCAAATACGTTTCAACTCCTACTATGTTCTAAATCTACCAACGCCAATAGAAATGCACTTTAATTTCAATAAAGATAATCAGAAAAGAGACTCTTGAGGCCCTACATATATGTTGACCAAATAACATTTTGGATATATTGGGGTTATATTAAATATATTATTAAAATTGTTCTCATTTATTTCTTTGTATTTTTTAAACGTGGCTACTAGAAGAGTTGTAAATTATATACTACATAGTTTCTATATTATACAGTTGACCCTTGAGCAACATAGATTTGAACTGTGTAGGTCCAAATATATGTGGATTTTTTCAATGAATATATTGTAAAAAATACAGTTAAGTAGCCTACCTAATAGTAGGCTATTAGTACTTAACTACTTAACTACTATTTAAGTAACAATGCCCTCCCCACTCCCAACAGTTGCTTTGGTAGGCAGTAGTTAAAGCAGCGATCCAGGGGAAAGTGCAGGACATACTTCAGTAGTGGTTATGTAGTTAAGCTTTTGGGGAGGTCAAAAGTTATACAGGGATTTTTCAACTGCACAGCGTGGGAGGGATGTCGGCACCCCTAACCCCCTTGTTGTTCTAGGGTTAACTGTATATCTATTGGAAAATACTGGACACTGTTCTATAGAACAATCCTGAGTTAGGGATATAAAAAAGAGTATAATGAAGTTTTTGTCGGGGGAGGGGGAGGTAAACATACCATATTAAAGGACCTTTCTATTCAGTTACATTACATGATAGATGTACTTTTTTTTCCTCACACTATTAATTGTTATGATTATGACATCTGTCTGATGACAGTATCATTTCAGTTTTGATCAGACTGAATAATTAAGTCTTTAGTTTCTTCGAAACTGAAGTGCTTTCAAGACATTTCAGGAAGGTGTTACAAGCAGGTTTGACATACTTTACATAGTTTTAAGGAGTAAAAAAATGAGATTAAAAATTCACTTTTAAATTTCCCTGAGAAGAAAAATAAAGTGAAAGCCTCACAAAAATCTATGCGATTTTGACTAATTTATTTCCTCAAATAGAAAGAAAAACAAAAGGTTTCAAACTACTTATTTTCTTATTTGGAAGAGAAGTGCTAAACTAATCCTAAATAGATCCTGATAATCTTCAAACAATTAGAATGTGTTGCCATGCTAGTACATATTTTGTTATGATAAAATAACAACTAGTAGCTATAATTTGATACTATATCGCTGTCATTATAATAACTAATATTATCAACAGAGAACTGAATGACTCTTGGTTTAGAGATTATATAACGAAGAGCTCATAGAAAGGCTCTTTGCATAAGCCATATTAACAATAATGTCAAGATCATGGGCTTGATGCCATAGGGACTAAGCTTTGCTGTGTTTCATGAATGCAGACCATAACTGTGGTAGGCAAAATAATGGGCCCCCAAAGATGTCCACATATTAATCCCTGGAACCTGTGAACATGTAACCTTACATGGCAAAGGAAAATTAAGGTAGCAATAGAATTAAGGTTGCTAATCAGTGGGCCTTAAAATAGGGAGATTATCCTAGATTATTTGGGTGGGCCCAAGGAAAAGGGTCCTCAAATGTGGAAAAGGAAAGCCAAGAGGAAGTTCGAGTGATGTAAGGTAAGGTCTCAACACACCACTGCTGGCTTTGAAGATAGAGGAAAAGGAACACAAGCCAAGGAATGAAGGCAGTCTCTAAAAGCTGGAAAAGACAAGAAAATGATTTTCTACAGCCTCCAGAAAGGAATACAACCCTGCCCTGATTTTAGCCTAGTGAAACCTAATCTACAGGACTTCTAACCTATAGGACTGTATAATAAATTTGTGTTGTATTAAGCCACTAAATTTGTAGTAATTTGTTATGGCAGCAATGTGAAACTTAAACAATAGTGAAAATCATTTCACAAATGGGGCCTTTCAACTGTGAAGGGAAATCAGATTAAACTCTTTGGGTGAGGCAGACCCAAATCTATCACAAACAAAACAAACAAATTAAAATCTACTCAAAATCTATGTCAGATGGAATAATGAGTCAATAACATCATTTTTCCTTTTAAAGGGGAACATTATGATTACACAGAGACACTACGGTATGTTTTAAAATATCTTCCTAAAATAAGTAGTCTGAAAAAGTGCTTGGCATTGAACTAGACAAAATAACAAATAGGCCTGGTTAAAATAGCAATGACAAATATTGTAGAACAAGTACTGAATGTGCTCTCTCTACATTCTGTTCTAGATAAGAATGGATAAGAAGCTGGCAATAAAAGTATCTGCTTTACAGAGTGAGTCTTTAATATAGCTATGAAATGTGAAGACTGTTAAAGAGCAGCAATGACAAGTGTAGACAGACAAATTTATAGTTCTTTTGAATACAGCTTGTTCAAAGTTAGTCAAATAAAAAAGTTGGATGATTATGCAAAAACATTATATTTGCTTTATATTCAGCTCAAGGACTCATTAAAATCAGCTTGTGAGGTGAAGACTTTTCAGGAAAATATGTAAAATACTGAGAAAAAAGATGGCAGAAATCACATTTATTTTGAATTTCTGCGAATGAGAGAAACACACAAAAAGAGACCAACTAGTAATCAAGCACCAGATTCTACAATGGCCATATCAATACTTCCTCTGGTTAACAAAAAAAAATCTAACACAAATTCAGCTATTAAACTCAGGTTCCTTATGCATACACCAGTAGTAATAACACAATTTCCTTACATCACTGGAAGAAACATTTGCAGAGAATTCATGCATGAGGTAAAAATTATACTGCCTCTGTTTTAAAAACTGTTCTTCTTAACTGGGTTCTGAAATATTTAGAAGAAGCAAAATAACTGGCCTCCTTTCTAAGAAAGTCTTTGGCAAGAGCAAATTGCAAAATGTTGAAACTAATCCTGGTACAGCAACATTTTAAATGTAAATTTTGTATTAATTAAGGAAGGTCAGCACAGCAGAAAGGAGCAAGTACTGAAACGATTAAGGTTAAAATCATGCTAAAGAAGAAAGGACAGGGCCGGCCCGGTGGTGCACTGCTACAGTGCGCCGCTTGGGAGCGCAGCGGCGCTCCCGCCGAGGGTTTGGATCCCACATACAGACCGGTTCCCACTCACTGGCTGAGCGAGGTGCGGGCGCAACACTGAGGGCTGCGGTCCCATTGCCGGTCCCGGTCCTGGTCCGGTACGGGTGCGACACTGAGGGTTGCAATCCGTTGCCGGACACGAAAAAAAGACAAAAAGGAAAAAAAAAAAAAGAAGACAGGACAACATTTACCTATACATTTTTTTTTCTACTGAACTTGCAGAAGGGAGAGATCATAAAGCGTAGTTCAGAACTGAGAACAAGGCACAAGGAATGAGAGCGTGTCTAACAAAGAGAATGAAAGTACTTGTGAGTCTTCAGAATTAGAACACAGTCTAAGATAAGTTTACTGACTAGAACAACTTGGTCTGTCACAAGAAGGAAAAGTACTAAGAGCTTTTAACAGGAGTGCTGTGGCCCAGATCAGAAGCAGAGTTGAGCTATTATTACCGAGCAGCCCCCAAGGGATTCATATCTGAAAAAGGTATAGGTTAAGTGTAGGTTATTTGTTGTTCTTGCTCTTAGTATTTACTTAAGCCTGTTAAATTAACCTATGTTGTTTAAAAATATATTATACTGTATTCTTCCATTACATTTTACTCATATTCAAATATTATTAATGCTTTCTTTCTTTACAGAAAAAGCAGAGTTAACTGGCTAAGGTACCAATCAACTCCCTCTCAGTTATACACCTCAAAGAAGCTTTAGGGAACAGATATAACAGCACAAAATAAAACAGTCTTCATAAAGTGGGGGACTTAATCTGAAAGTCATGGCAAAATTGTCATTTAACTACTCTACAAAAGAAAGGGTTAGAAAGATCAGGATATCTTGTCTGTTAAGAACCAGTCATATTTTGGTGCAAGTATAACCTGTTTACAGTGTATCACCTCCTCTTATAGCATCTTATAGCATTCTAAGTACACCCCACTCTGCACCCTTGCTTGCTTCCAACTATGACCTAACTATGGAACAACATGAAAAAATAATGACGTTTTTTAAATCTCTAATATATTTATCTCACAACTGGACAGTGTGATTGCTTTGGCCATTAATGAACTTAGTGGTTGGTTTTTCATGCTAAAACGAGGCACAAAGTTACTGAAAGGACATTGTGAAAGCGAAAATAGAGAAGATGCAATCCTTCCTTTTGTGAAACAGGTTCCCACATGAACTATGAAAAGAACACTAGAAATCAAAATAAAATCTCTCATAAGTCTGCTAGTTCCAGAAGACACATTATAATAAAACAAACTACCTAGGATATCAAAAACTATACCAAATTTTATAAAAATGAGACAGGACAGGAAAACAACGATAGGGGAGAAAAAGCCTTCTGGCAATTTTAACTTTTCACTCAAAGAAAGTAATAATGTAGAGAAGTGACAGATACCTTGTTCACTGGATTCTCTTACATACGGCTTAAGGTGAGACATTTTGATAGGTCTTTTAAGTCTAGCCCCAGTGTTGTCTCTCAGGACAGCACATCCACCTTCTGTAATATAGTCTATGACACAAGGACCAACCCATTCAGACTGGAAACGACCATCCTTCCACCAGTTTTTCCTTTGTCTTAAAACTTCATGACCCACTTTTAAATGAAATGGATTTAATTGCTTTGGTTTCTTTTTAATAGCAATCTTGCTTTTATTTAATTCATCCAAATTGTTGTTCTCCACCTACAAGTGCAAACAAAAAACCAAAGGTATGAAAGAGCTATAATTTCTTGAAGGTAAATGTAGATAATGGTAACATTATAAAAAAATAGCTATTTATTGAGATGCTACTAAAAGATAGGCATGAATCCTATTTAATTCTTAAAATAACATTTCTAAGTCAGTATTATTACCCCTACTTTACATAGAAGGTAAACTGAGATAGGTTAAGTAATTTGCCAAAGTCAAACAACTGGAAAGCAGCAAGACTACAGATTTGAATCCAGCTGTACTTGATTCCCAAATCTATATTTTCTCACTATCATCTCGCAGAATATCATAGTTAGTAAGCATACTATTTAATAAAAAGTAGAATTTGATAGAAAATTTTGGTTTAAGGGTATATCATCTGTGTGTGTGTGTGTGTGAACATACGTGTATGCTAAAATTCTAAAGATAAGTATCACTTTATAGTTTTAAATTACAGAATTTTTCTATTAAATAGAATCACCTGGCCCTCTGAAGTCTTATTTTCCATCATTTTTTCAGCTTCTTTAATTGCATATAGAATTTTGGCAAACATACTTGTATTATCACCATCTGCTTCATGAAGACTACCTGACGTCTCAGGCATATAAGGATTTCGATTAAACATTTGAAAATATGGTGTATTTTTAGTAGGCTCCTATTTTAAGCAAAATAAAAAAGATATTTATAAGATATTTATCTAGCCAAAAAACAGTCATAACTCAAAAGTATAGAATTATGAAAAGGCACATACCAAGTGAGTCACATTGAAGGCAAATGAAACAGCTGATAGGTGATCATCCCAGTTGTCTGGGTGGTCAGCACAGTGTTTGGAGAGAATCGTTTTGATTGTGCTAGGTGTACTTTCAGTTGGGTTTAGAGTTCCAGAAGTGTGAGATATTACAATTTGCTTTGTGCCAAACAGTCTGTTTAGCTCAACATTGATCTGAAAAACATATAAAAAGACTGACTTTTTAAAATTTGTATTTTAAAAAAAGGCTTCAAAAGAATTTGAATCTTGCTCTCTTCACTGGCCGTAACCATTCTCTATAAAAACATACATATTTTGTTTAAAATAGTAGTTACCATTTATTGAGTCCTTACTATGTGCTGATCAACATACTAAATGCTTTATTGTCATTAAAGCTTACAACAATTTTATGAGGTATTATTACCCCATTTTAAAGATAAGAAGCTGAAGGCTTTGGGAGGTTAAATGGCTTACCAAATACACACATACAGAATTTAACACTAACTCCGAGTTTAAGTAACTTTTTAATTTAGTAGACAATCTCTCAAACACTAGGTCACATAATCAAGTTAACAGGTGTGTGCTCTTGAACAAGTCACTGAACCTCTCTGTATTCAGTTTCCTTATATGTAAAATGAGGAAGATGCTAACCCTCTTTTGAGGATTAGATGAGTTGATGTTTGTAAAGCACTTAAAACAGTTCTAGGCAAGTAGTGAGCATTTTATAATTTTAACTGCTACTATTATTGCTGTTGTTATTATATTTATTATGTGTAGGTCTGCCTAGGAATAATTCAGTGAATCCATTGGTGAGATGCAATCTTGACATCCTTACCCCATCAGTCTTCTCCCCCACATCAGCCCTTACAATTTTCATTTTCCATAAGACATTTTTTTTTTCCTTTTTGTCTTTTTTCGTGACCGGCAACGGATCACAACCCTCAGTGTTGCGCCCGTACCGGACCAGGACCGGCAATGGGATCGCAACCCTCGGTGTTGCTCCCGCACCTCGCTCAGCCAGTGAGCGGCCGGTCTGTATGTGGGATCCGAACCCTGGGCGGGAGCGCCTCCACACTCCCAAACGGCGCACTGTAGCAGTGCGCCACCGGGCCGGCCCATCCATAAGACATTTTTAAAAAAGTAATTTTCCCATTGTTTATTCTCTTTCCTTCAGAGGTTTACAAAAAGTCCTTTACACATTTTACTGAAATAATTTAGCAAATACTCTAAGCTGAGATGTTAGAAATGTGTATTTTTATCCAACTGAATAAACCTCCCACATTGTGCATTAAGTTCTAATTCTATTTCAACACGTTAGCAGTTTTTTATGTCAGTATTTACTGACAAAAGGATACCATTATTTGTCACCATTATGCTTTCTGTGTAATATTTAAGTCATTTTAATCACAGCAAAATAAATAAGTTTTCCCAATCATATGTGACTTTATATTATGAACTCTCACAAAAGAGGCTTATAAACATTTATTGTTATCTTTAGTAAAATTTTCAAAGTCCTGAATTGATTATCGCATGATTTTAAACATGACTGGAAAAACCACTGGCTAATCATAGTGGCTTTATACTATCATTTGCTATTATCTTGAAGAACTATAAACATGGTAAAGCTTTTCATTAATAATAAGCAAAGTCCTGAATTGATTATCGCATGATTTTAAACATGACTGGAAAAACCACTGGCTAATCACAGTGGCTTTATACTATCATTTGCTATTATCTTGAAGAACTATAAACATGGTAAAGCTTTTCATTAATAATAAATTGGAAATGAATCAATAGTTCAGTTGTCTTGATAATTTTGAATTTTGATGGCCAGTTTCCTATCAGATCTAATTAGTTAATATATGTTTTCATCTCATTAATACGTCTAACAAAGAGATAGTACTAGAAGTTAAGTAGAAGTGTCAACTCTATCATTTTCTTGTGGTTGATGGGCGTTTGCACTTTAGTATTGTCTTGTTTCATTGCCCACTCTGTGAGTAGGAGTTTGGTGAAAACTAGATGATATCCATAAATTCAATTAACTGCTGAAAGCAAAGGGATGAGTAAGGAAACCGATGTAGACGCCTACAGGTTGTGAATCTTCACTTTTCTCTCAGGATGCCTTCATATACCATGTGTGACAAACAATCATCTGACTTGTTGATTGAGTCAGGACTCTATTATCAATCTGTACACACTATTAGTTAAGCTTCATTACTTTCTTATTTTTTAGATTAAGAAAAAAATGTAAACAGAAGTTCTAATAGTCCTCCCCTAAACTGGCTTGTCTCACACTCTCCATTTTGCAGACCACTGCTGTGTCAAAGTAGGCAAAATTATGCTACATTTGCAAAACACATTCAAGTCTTGGTGGGTGGCTTAACACAGCAAAGTTTTACTTCTTGCTTGAGCAAAGTCAGCTGTAGGTCTGGGTGCCTCCGAGCTAACTGTTGTCCACTAGATGCCTCAGCACTTCTGGATGAGAAAAGTTCCACCATCCTAGAGTGTAATATCTGGAATATCCAGTCAATTCCCCAGAGAAAGGTAAGACTGGGAAATTGAGGAAATGAGCATGAGGTTTTCACTGACTCAGGCTGAAACTGACATATATCCATCCACACGATTTCTTTGGCCAGAACTAGTTACTTGGGCTTGCCCACCTATAAGAAGCTAGAATGACAGACTTACATGTTTGAAAAGATAGGAGAACTAGTTATTGCTAAGCACTAGTAACTTGTATCACAAATGAAACATATGATTATGCATATTTTAATCACTAAAATTCTAAAAGCAACATAATTATGATACATATAAACTGATAAGTTAAGAAAAAATTTATAATCCTATCAAATTTTTAAAAACTCAACAGTTAACCTTATAGATTTCTTTTCAGTTTTTTATATTTATTTTTCACAATTATCTATGTGAATATATGTATATATACTACATTAAAATCTTTCATCATGTGGCTAGACATTTTTCCTGCAACACTTTCTTTTTTTTTTTTTTTTATATTTAGGTTGTTTTCCATCTCTCACTAATATAAAAACCATTGTGGAAAACATAATCATAAAACAGCAGTTTCTATATTTGAATAATTTTCTTAGCGTAAGTTCTTAGAAATAGGATTGCTAACCAAAAGACGAAATATGGCTCTTACTGGGTCTTTATGAAAAAGTTAGTTTCGGGATGCAATGCTATCAGTATTATAAGGCTGTATCATTCTACTTGTAGTCTATTTGGTATTACTATTTTTCTGACAAGCAAAAAATGGTCTTAATTTGCATTACTTTTATTACTATTGAGTTTGAACATTTTCTACATGTTTATAATTTTTATACTCTTTTGTAAATAATCTGTTTTTGACTAAATTTATTAACTTGTTTGAATCTTTTAGAATAAAGATTCAAACCTTTCCTACATGGTTTTTGCTTTATTTTCCTCGGTCTATTTCTTGGCCTTTATCTTTTGGTTATTTTATCACATATAAGTTTCTATTTATTATGCAGCCAAATTTGGTGTTTTCCCATTAAAATTTATACTCCATCTCTAGAGAAAAAGTCAATTATGTATTTTTTGTTTCAATTAAAAAAATAAAAATTCCTGAATTTACCCCAAAATTATTTTGATATGTGGTATTTAATTCTAAAATCATATTATAGAAATAATTACAATTAGAAAGTCATTACCTGTTAATTAAATCAGAAAAAGTCAATTATGTATTTTTTGTTTCAATTAAAAAAATAAAAATTCCTGAATTTACCCAAAAATTATTTTGATATGTGGTATTTAATTCTAAAATCATATTATAGAAATAATTACAATTAGAAAGTCATTACCTGTTAATTAAATTAATTAAATAATCCCTCCCTATTCCACACATTCGTGATGCCAGCTTTATCATTTTAACCACTGTTCGAACTCTGTAGCAAATTGTCCCCTTAACATCTGTTAGACACCAGGAAAACTACTAGCTTAAGGCATTTCACAGTTTCAGCATGAGATCAGGTTACAATCCTCACAATGACATCATATCTTTACCAAACTGTTTTTTTCAGCAGATGCTGTGATAAAAAGCAATTACTTTGTAAAAATCAGTGTGAAACAAGAAAGATGGGTGTCAGAGCCCAGTATAATTCCAAGGTTTAAAAAGTTAAGCAATGGTCAATAGGTATATACAACCTATTAGCAAGTAATTGTGATTATTTAAAAATGAAATAAAATAATTTTTTTTCAATTTATCAGTATTAATAAAATGGCTAAGTGGTTAGGTCACAAATACTTATTAAGTTGTTTGGATGGAACTGTGCAGAAAAGAGTTAACACAGCAGATCTGAGCCTGCTATCCTTTGAGAGATCCACTTACAAGGTTGGCCCTTGGCTAGTGTCTAGGAACTTGGATTTTGGTTCCCAATGAAAATATTCCTGCCATTCCCTAATTGATAAGGGTGGCTCAGTAAACAGTTTGTACAAATGCCTAAAGAGTTTATACAAATAATGTGGTTTATGCTAAATACCTTCTTTCCTTCTGTGTGTCTGTACTTTTGGTACATGCCATGCACAGGGTGCCTATGAGACCAGCCCCCAGAGAAAACCCTAGGTACTGAGCCTCTAATGAGCTTGCTGGGTAGACAACATTTCACATGTGCTGTCACAACTCATTGCTAGTGGAATTAAATATGTCCTATGGAACTCCCCTGGGAGAGGAAATCTTGGAAGCTTGCACCCGGTTTCCTCTAGACTTCTCCCTATGCACCTTTTCTCATTCTGATTTTTCTTTCATTGAATAAATCTTAGCCATAAGTATGACTCTATGCTGAGTCCTTCTAGTGAATCATGGAACGTGGGGATAATCTCACATAGATCCTATTACTAAATATAAATTTAGGTATTTCTTTTGGACTGAGACATCAAAAGTGCTGTGAACCAAGAAAGTCTGGCTATCTTTGATTTTTCTTACACCAGTTCCCTGTAAATTACAAAAATTTAAAAATATGCCTTAAGTCTAGAAGTTATTATATTTTTTTTGGAATTTTTGTATATATATTCTTGTCTGCTTATTCTTTCAGGTTAACTTTAATCTGGAAAAAGTCTAGGGAAAAAGAAAAAATACCTTTACATACTAAATATTGTCATTTATGAATATGATATATTTTTCTATTTGGTCAAGTCCCCCTTTACAGGTCAATCACAGAATTTTTAAGCCTGAAGTACGAAAAGATAATTCAGTCCAAACTCTTCATGTAAGTTTAAGATAACTGAAAATACATTTACAATTGTTAGTGGCACAATAAGTACTAAAATCCTGGTCTCCTAATTTCCAGTCCAACTACCCTTGTAGTACAAAATATTATACCTTTACATCTGTAGCAATTTTATGAAGCACGCTGTTAATGCATAGGGACACCAAAAGGGAGTTAAGATATGCTCCCGTACCTAAGTAGTTTATTTGCCTTACCTGTTGAATGAATTCTTCTCTTTGGTCCATTATTATTTTCTGAGGAGGTCCATATAAGAAAAATATATTGATAATAGCTTTAGAAATTTCTGATGCTGAAACATCACATAGAGGCAAAATCATAACCCATTTTGTGAATAAATCTGTCATGATTATAGCATATACATGGCTTCTGTTGCTTGTATGAAAAGGTCCCATCAGATCAACAGTAATTATACTCCATGGATTTTCTACCTTGAGAAGGTGTTGTTTAGGTGCTAGAATAACTGCAGTTTTCGCCACTTGGCAATGCTGACAAGCATATACCTATAAACAGGTACACAATAAATAAAATATATACAAATGTTAATATATTCAATATAATATAAAAAAGTCTTATAAATCTGAATTTAAAAATGGTTAATAGGCATTTTGTATTTTGAAGGAGAAACTTTTGGACTGATAACAGACCACTGAATTAAACCTTCCATTCAGAACAACAAGCAAATATTAGTTGCTACAACTATTAAATGACCATCTTATAGGGTCTTATTAACATGGAACATAATTCTGGCTCATATTCCATATATATTTATTAAATGAATAGATCTTAAAATAAGTTTTCTATGATTTTAAATCAGTATGTGAATATACAACAATTTCTACATGCTGAAGATGTTTCCTCCTAAAGTTGTCACTTTGAGGTTTGTTCATTCATCTACTCCAACAACATTTATTGAAATATAATTTCATTCAAACAATATTTATAGATGCCAGAAGTTTATCTAGGTCCTGGGAAAAGAGAGCAAACAAAAACAAAGCCCATGCTGTCATAGAACTTTCACTTGGAGGAGGTGAGAAGAGATCAATAGATCAATTGATCAATTTATGGATTGTGCCAGAATTCCACTTGGAAAAGATTTTCAAAATAACTTCTGGAGAAAAATTTAAAACCATTTTATCACTTTATAGTTACAGTTACTTTTGGTCAAAATTTTCATTTTCCAACTTACACTTATTCACTAAATTTCATCACAAACAACTTCAGATTATTTTCAAAAATCATACACATTCTCAAATGGTAAAGATTTGGCAAAGATTTCACTAAATATTAATAAAGGAATGTATGGCAAGTTCTGAAGACAAACACAAGTACCAAGGTTTTTGGAATACCTGCACAGATTCATATACTGATTACTCACAAATGATACTTTGTTAAATATTTGTTTAATTCTTTATGCCTGAAATGCCAGTCTTTTTGATGTACTACTACAATTATTAAAGAAATCTCACATATATACCAAGGAAATCCTACCATTTGGCACACAGTATACTGGAAAGACTAGGGATCAACTGACCTACCAGCAAGACCCCCAGAATTCCTGGGTGGATTTTCTGGTGGAAGACATTGAAGGTCCTAATGGGCTATAAAGTTATAAAACTTAGACTTATTTCACTATCTTCACAGTCTGATTTTACATTTATTAGGTTCTGGGCTTCTGCCATCTTTGACATTTCTTCCTCAAGATGGAAGAGGCACAGAAGATGAGAGCACACACTGCGCCTAACTTATGAAGATAGTCTCCTTTCAAGAAAGGCTTACATGACTGCCCTTAAAAAGGTAATAATTTAGTCAAATGAATTTCAGTCCCATTTAAATTCTGCCTACACAAAGGAGTTCAAATGACGAAAATCTGGTTCTAAATAACCACTTATCTAAATATGGTATTTTCAAGTGTTTAAGTAATGCTTCTTTCTAGTTCAAATTACACTTTGGAGATTTAAAAGAACTGTGAGGGGAAATAAGACTCCTTGTAATTAAAAAAATTTTTTTGTACAAAAACTCCCTAAACAAAAAGTACTTAATGAGAGGTGATACCCAGAGTAAATCTGGAGCAATAATGAATTTTGAATATCTATTAGAAAGACATTATTCAAAATATTCTAAATACATAAGCCATACCCACTGTTTGACATCATTGGTCACAGAAGTCCAATAGTAATTGGATTCCACTAGAGTGAGGGTTCTGGATATGCCATGATGAGATCCAGAGTCATTTTCATGGCATTCTCTTAAGACCTTCTTTTTTTCCTCTTCTGAAACAATTACCAAACGATTTTGTTTCCTGTCTTTTCCAACATAAAACAGCTTTTTTTCTGGAATAAATAATACCAAAAAGATAGAATTGCAATTTTTAGAGACTTATATAGTTTTAAGATTATCATAACCTTAGCTTCAAACCATGAGGGTTTTTTGTTTTATGAAATCTTTTTCCATTTAAACATAGTATTTATTTGTAATAATGCTTCCATACAATCTGAATGGTACTCAGCTGTTACACATACTAGATATTAAGAATGAGTACCAGCTGCCATAATTTTGTAGTTATCAATACAAGTAGAGCTAGCTTGTTCACCAAAGCATGTAATAACTATGGGAATATAAAATTATCTTTCGATGGGAGTACTCAAAGTAGGAAAATACTTACAGGTGCCTTCTAAAAGTGGCATAAATTAGCGAATGAATTACGTACGGATAACCAACTTCCTGGAGCAGAATTTTCTAAAATAGCATTTCATCATAACCACATTTTTGTAAGCAACCACCTCTCTCAGGTTTTTCTAAATTTGAGTAGAAGGTAGAATAGTAAACTGTGAAAGTGGGATAATCTTAATCCTCAAGACAGTTCTCTCTTTTAATTAGAAGGACACCTGAGAAGAACCTGCAGCTGGGAAGTAACCAGGGAATGAAGAGAACCACCGTCTGTCTCTCCACTGTGGATAGGTTAGCTATTCAAACTCCAGAATAAACCATTAAGCTATTAATGTGCTTAAACACATGCTGAGTAAAATATTCTTTACTTGAATTAGAAGGTAAGCAACCTAATGTCAGGAACCTAATCTATCTTGTTCAACAGTATATCTCCAAAGCCTAGAATGTGTTTGGAACACAGGAGGAACTCTAAACATTTGTTACATAAGTGATTAAATAAATGAATGAATGAAACCTCACCTTAGTCTAAGAGGTAATGGGTCTTCCTGTTCTTAAGCATAAGGGAGTTACTGGTAGGGGTGTACACAGGGAGACATAAACAGGCATTTATTTATTATCTTAGAATATTCTTAACCTGCTTTGGGGAAAGCCTAATGTTGTACACATAGGCGAAACTCCCATTAATAGCATCAACATTTGTTCAGTTATCTGGTGACTGAATCTGTTGCTTATCTCATCCTAAACTTCTCTTCCTCTTTGAAGAACGGGGGAAAAAGGGGGAAAACTATCATGGCCTTTCAAGATAAGTATCCCACTGCTTTTCAAATATTTAATCCATTGAGGGGGATTCAGGGTCTAAAAATAAATGTAACCCTAAGAAAATTTAATGGTTGGGGGGGTACCACAGAAGTAAATACAGTAAAGTCCTTCCACTTTTCATTTTAGTCAACTAGTTAACTTTGTCAACATTTTCATATTAAGCATCAAGTAAGTTCCTCACTGACAGTGGAATCAATGCTAGAAAGTACACCACTAGAGTGGGAACCACCAAAGGGCAAAGCAGAAGTTTATTTAGGTAAATGTTTTGTTTTCTTTCAAGGCATCGTTTTCTATATGTAATTTAAAATGCCCTTTTCAGGCTTACTGGCCTTCCGTTTGCTTCAGTGTGATTTTTATTTTGCTTTTGATTGATTGAGTGGCATCATTAATTCAACTGGTAATTGTTTAGCAACAACCTATTACTACAGAAATTCTTAGGATTCCATAAGAAGCACATGTGAAGAAAAATCTATAGCTCTATACTCAAGATTTTAGTTATTAATTTTACCTTTGAAGACAAATTTTTTTGCTGCTCTTCTTATGCCACTTCTCTCACTTGGCAGTGTAGTTGGATGATATTCACCAGTTCGTTTATAATATGCAATCTGTTTAAGATGAAGGTCACCATTTTTTCCACTACGGACCATCATGAACCTAGGTAAAAAGTATTTAAAGAGATAAATAAGTTAACTCAGGTGCTATTTCAGTTGAGGCTTCTTCTGTCATATTTCTGTTTATCTCTGAATTGAGCATTCCCAGAATTTTATCTGTGAGGGAGATAATTGGAGTACAGAAAAGGCACAGAGTGACGTATATGAACTAAAATATTCCAATGCTATTTTTGAGACATATCATGACAAATTATCTTGTCTCTTCCCATGTGATAAGAAATGTTGAAAGTTTTCCACATACTTGAGAAAAAAGGAAACGAAGAAGTACATTTCTAAAAGATTTGCTTTGAGTCTCTCATTGCTATTAACTGAAATGTAACTTACATAGTATGGTCCTGTTATGTGACATTTAAATAAATGATGATAGATTATAAAGGGAGAAACATAGTTTTATTGTTTACTTCTAAATACATTCATGGTCATTGCAAAATGCAATAAAAAAAAACCTATTCAAATTCTATGTGACAGATATTTTGGAAATGTTCAAATTTATATGACAGAGAAGATATTTAGCAGCCAGATCTCACGCACTCTTCTGAATTACAGGTAAGCTTCTTTTTCTTGAACATAAGTGATTTTTGGTCCTGTGTATCCTTTTCAATGTTATAACATTTTCTTTACAAAGAAAAATCTGGCTGTACCAGCAAAAACAAAAGAAAACAAAACAAACCCTTCTCTATTATAGACTGTAAGTAATATGGGAAATCATTATAAAGAAAAAACCTTTTTATTTCTTATTTTCAGTTGAAAGGAACTATTCTGTGCTGATTAGTCTGTTTCCTATCACCCTCAACCCTCCAGATCCATTTTTGGCCTTTCTCTCCTGGCTGCTGTACTCCAGGAGACTGACCCTTATGACTGCTCTTACAGTTTTCCAGTTGAAATTGTCCAGTGGGAAGCACTGGCAGGCAAATCAGAACACAGGAGAAGAAAAAGGTCAGGACAGATATATCCTGGCTCTTTTCCTTGGATTAAGCTGAAACCCTCTGCAAACACAGCTCCTGTCAGGGAGCCTATCTTCCCTGTCTCTACAAATGCTTACAGTTATGAAATTCTAAAAATAATATGGACATTTACTGACCACTACAGGACCTAGGGATGAGAATAAAAGAGTATATTACTGCAGAATGTTGGAACAAAGCAGAACAGACTGTGCCTATGAACCATGGCTTAAATAGCCTATCAAGTCTCTTCCCTATGAAACAGCTCTTGGCACATTCAATAATCATCTTTCTGATCTATTTATAACTTCCAGAGAGAATATCAGTATATTTCTAATATTCCTTATAATCTAAGGTTAGCATAAAGTACAAGATACTTTAAAAGCAAAGGTACTGCAATGCTAACACAGTCTCATCATAATCTAAAAACCATGTTAATTATCTCTATAAAGTATTATAAGATAATTAGCTTGTTCTAAGTTTAATTCACTTTTAATTAAATACTAAATACATGAATTTTTCATTTTTTAATAGATGTCTATACCACCAAATCAAACAAATGTAGTTTATCACAGCTTCTAAAACATCTAGAAAATGAACGGACCAGATTTTAAGACTTTCTATAAAAAATAATACTGTAAATAAGACAGTATAGTATTGGCATAAGAATAGACAAATAGGTCACTGGAAGAGAGAACGGAGAATTAGATCCACACTTATAAAGTCAATCAGTTTCCAACAAAGGCATCAATACAATGGGGAAGACATGGTCTTTTCAATAAATGATGCTGGAACAATCTGTATAGGAAAAAATTGAACCTTAACCACCTACCTCACATTTTCTACAAAATTAATTCCAGATAAATCATACACATAAATGTGAAAAGTAAATGACAAAGCTTCTGAAAGAATGCTTCTGGATAAAAACACAGGAAAACGTTGGCATGAGAAAAACCTTGAAATAAGCAAAGATTTCTTAAAAAGGACACAAAAAATACTATCCAAAAGAAAAAAAAATATAACAAATAGGACTTTATCAAAATCAAAACTTCTCTTCATCAAATGACACCATTAAGAAAGTGATAAGGTAAGCCACAGACTGAGAGAAGATATCTTTAACACGTATGTCTTATTCATACCCTGCATATACAGGGAATTTCTAAAAGTCAAAAAGAAAAGGACAAAAACCCAATTTGAAAAATGGCAAAAATCTTACATGGCATTTTATAAAAAGGGAATATACGAACAGTTAATAAGCAAGTGAAAATTGTTCAACATCATTACTCTTCAAGACAATGCAAGATTAAAACCATAATGATTTACAACTATACACTACCAAAATGGCTAAAATTAAAAACATGGACAACACTAAGGTAGCAACTGGAACTTTCATATGTTTTTTGTGGGAGTAAAAAATGCTGCTACCACTTTGGAAAACTGAGTTTCTTCTAAAGCTGAACATACATCTACCTTAAAGTCTTGGCAACTCTACTTCTAAGTTTATATCTCAGCAAAATGAGTATATGACTATCAAAAGATGTGTTCAAGGGCCGGCCCGGTGGCGCACTGCTACAGTGCGCCGCTTGGGAGGGCGGCAGCGCTCCCGCCGAGGGTTCGGATTCCACATACAGACCGGTTCCCGCTCACTGGCTGAGCGAGGTGTGGGCGCAACACCGAGGGTTGTGATCCCGTTGCCGGTCCCGGTCTGGTACGGGCGCGACACTGAGGGTTGCAATCCGTTGTCGGACACACACACACAAAAAAAGATGTGTTCAAGAATGTGATATTTTATAGTCGTAATAACCTCTAACTGGAAGCAGTAAAGGCATCAAGCAGTTTTACCATGTGTATGCTCAGTCCCTGCCCTGTAGCCACTCCTATTGTTATCCAGTTTCACGTTGCTCGAGGTCACTGCTTTTCAAACCATCTGTTGTGAGGTGCTAGTACCACCCTACCATCCCCCAGTCTGTCACATAAGACTCCTTAATGCCTTTTCTTTTATGTCATCCTCACTACAGCATCTCTACCAAAGGATTCCATGGTGATCGCTTCCATGATTAATCAATTTTCAATTCAGGAAGGCTTGTGTGGTTTCAAGTCGGGCATACAGAATCCTCTACCTATCCATTTGCCTGCCTGTCATTTTAGCTCTATTAGCCCTCCTCAACTCTTAAAAAACAAAAATCATTTTTTCTTTGTGTCCTATTTTTATCTCTAGGCTACATTGACATGCACCCTTTCAAGTTCAAGGGAAACCTGTCCCTTCTCAGTGTAGATTAAATCTCTACATGGTCTATGTTCTGTAAAATTTATGATACACTAAAAAAAAAAAAGACTGAAAAAAATTTATTATAAACTATATATAACCCCACATTACAGTTTTCCCTTAACGGCTTCTGGAACCTTCGATATTCCAAATCATCTAAATCATCTAAAGGAAAATCTAAAGATTCCTGGATCAAGATGGCAGAATAGATGGTACCCAGTGTCACCCTCTTCCACAATCAACCAATTTACAAATATTAAAAAGCAACGACTGCCAAGCTGGGGCAGCTAGAGCTCAGAAGAGGAGGAGAGACCTATGGAGTTCATGAAGGCAGGTAAAGCCATGATGAGAGAAAGAAAGGACCTCTCCAACCATGTGGAGCCCCAACCATTCCAAGGCTGGCCCTAGTGAGCACACAGTGCAAGAGCTGGCAAAAGCCACTGCTGTGCCCTTTGTATGAAGTTGCTTGGAGGCTGCAGGGTAGAAGACGGCCTTGGTGGACCCCAGACCAGCAAGACCACTAACAGGTTTCCCGTGGACCCACATGGAGTGAGGGGCAAAAGACAACTGAAAAAAGGAGCCACTCAGGGGCCAGTGGGTCATCGCAAGGGACTGGTGCATGGCCCGTCCCATGGGAAGTGTTTGGAGTGCGGGGGTGGGGGAGACAGACCCACCAGAGGAACACTGGGGCACAGCATGGACAGCTGATCTGTCCTCCATCCAGCAAAGGACCACTCAGTGGAGACTGGTCAGGAATATAGAACTTCAGGGGGTGCAGTATTTTGAAAAGACTTAGGCCCAGAACCAGAGTTTCCACACAACCCAGGTGCATCAAACCTCACAAGCCCCAGAAGTGCTGAAAAGGTCAACAATCAAAACCAGCACAAAAAGCCTTCCCCAGATAATCAGTGTGGAGGATATTGACATTAATGAGATAGAAATAAAACATATGTATTTCACAGAACCAAAGCCTGTAGTTTAGAAGGACTGAAGTCGTTAGCTTAGCCTGTAGTGTAGAAGGCCAAAACCCATAGTTTAGCAGGATCAAAGTCCTTAGTTTAAGCAAAAGCCTGTATAGCTTAGAAGGACCAAAGTCCTGTAGTTTAGGAGGCCAGAGGCTCTAGCTTAGGGGGCCAAAGCCCAACCCTTAAAGAAAACACACAGAAATGCTAAGGTTAAGAGAGACCAGAAAACTTTCACAGGATTAAAGCCTTTGATGTAGATAAGAGAATTGAAGCACAGCAAAAAGTGATTGCTCTGGGGTCAGTTGCCCTTGGTGCAGCTAAACCTAGATGCTGGGAAAGTATGTAAGCTAAAATCTTCAAGGATATTCTGCTACTTAGTGCTTGGGGGTGTTCCACATTTTGCCCTAAGCTGTTTCTTTGAGTTTCTTGGGGAGCTAAGGGCTTTGGTTATTATCTCACTGTTTCTTTTTGTACATCACATAGCTTAGTTTTATGACTCTTTTTGATGGTAAACTGCTTGAACTATTTTAAGTTACACCTGCTTTAATGAAGATTGTCACATAGCCAGTTTATGTTTTCACTATGATTGATTAACCACCTGTTTTTCTTCTGTAACTTTCTTGTCTTTACAATAAACATGGAAGCAAAAACTGACTTGGGGCTGTGCCTGGGTTCTCCTCTCTTGAAGGAGTTTTCCCTGGGTGCAGTCCCTTCGGCCTTCTTGTTGCTCTGAATATATGAACTTTGGGTAATCTTTTGCATCTCTGTCACTCTGCGAGAGGTGACAATCAGCAGCAAAGCAGCG